CATAAATAAAACATAAAAAAACCATAAATGCAAAACCACAGAAAACGGAGATCGTAAATAAAACGTAAATGCAAAACGTAAAAGAAACATAAATAAATCATAAAAGAAATAAATCAAGGATTCGGCCCTTAGGCAGCAAAAGATCGTCCTAACCCTAGACCCTACCTTTCAACCCCAAACCCTAAAACCTAAAACCCTAAACTCTAAACCCCGAAGCCCCAAAAACCTAAAGCCCCTTGAATCCGCAACTACACAACCGAACATCGGGGGCAGATTCTCGCGCTGCATCGGCTCCAGAGCCTGAAAAAGAGCCATTCGAAGAGCCTGATGCCTGAGCCCGCAAACCCAGCAAGCTCATAAGGTTGAAACCCCGAAGCTCTATAAACCCTAAACCCCTAAACCCTAAACCCTGAAAGCCCCTAAACCCTGAACCCTAAACCCCTAAACCCTGAACCCTAAGCCCCGAAACCCTAAACGGCGAAACCCGAATCCCTACTCCCTGCTCCTGCCACCCACAAAGGCCCAGACCCCATGAAGTGCGTGAAGATCGCGGACTTCGGCATCTCCAAGCGTCTGAGTGGGACCACGCTGGCGAGGCAGCCGTGCCGCCCTTCAGGGCTTAATACGGCGTTCAGGCTTCCGTGGGCTTTTTCTGCTCGCTAGGGTTTTGGAGGGTTTATGGTTCCGAGTCTGCTCATCTACCCTAAACCCTAAACCCTAAACCCAAAGCCCTAGACCCCAAGCCCTAAGCCGTGGCTCTTGGCAGGCTTCATGAAAGATCTCACGCTTATGAAGGGCCTCCCAGAGGTTTCTGGAGTTGGGGCTTCGATGTATAGGTTTCGGGCGCAAGTGCCTTTGAATTGGGGCCCGGAAGCCCTCAACTTAAACCTGAAACCCGGAACCTTCTTTGAAAGAAGCTTTTCAGAATTTCAGAAACCCTTATATAGCACCCTCAGAGGAACCATAAACCCAGGCTGTAATTAATCTGCCAGGACCCTCCAAGTACCCTCAAATAGGGGTAAAGGGTCCCAAATTAAGGGTATTTAGGGTCTAATAGAGGGTATATGGAGGGTCTAGGTGGTTGGGCGTCTAAGTTCAGTCGAGGCCTCCAAAAAGAGCAGTTGGTTCCTCCGGTGCGTTGCGGCCACTTGTGTATTGTTCATGGTGGACACAGATTGCGTCAGGGTTCTTCTTGCAGCTTCTTCTTGTGGCTCTGCGATCTGTTCTTTTTGCTTTTACATTTTCAATCATTGTAGTGATCTTCTAGTTTATGCATGTATTGGGTTTAGTCAGGCCAGCCAGGCAATTGGAGCTGTTACTATCCATGGAATCGTTGTGGCATAGCGGGTGAACCGGTCTTATGGATCACAGCCGTTTCCACAAGTAAGCACTCGGTCTGAACACGCTTATTGACTGTATGGTATATCTACACTACTTAGAAGATCCCATTTGCCACTTAAATTTGTTGGATTTCGAAGGTACAGTGAGGACTCCCAATATCCTAATGGGCCTTGGCATACCGAGGTGTAACATCCTGCATTACCTGCACTACCCGCAGCTGTGTGAATTTCCGTATTGTCTTGCGACGAGTAAATGCAGGAGGTTTGTCCGTCAGCATCGCTAGTGCTGCTCAAGCAAAACGCTGCCGCTGGTAGTTGCTGGTCGTGGTGGGGAAGGGGAAGGAGGAGGGCATGGATAGTATCTTTGCCAGCAACAGCTAACTACTCCGAACCCTTGACACTACGATCCACTATAAAGCCCGCGATCAAAGGCTGTAAAGAACAACACCCCCAAATCCCAATGAACTCGACCCTGAGCCGCAAATCGTCAAACTAACTTAGCACTCGGGATCCTCGATTCATGACCTTGTTGGCGGAGGACGATGGTTGGCACTCTGGAGATCATGGCGCCCGAGCGAGTGCGGACATTGTCTGAAGGCGCGGCTACCCTGTAGGAAGGGGCTTTTCTAGAGCCTGGGGAGAGGGTTTGGTGGTCAGCATCCTTGGAGCGACCCCAGATACACCAGGAACCAGTCTTGCATTCTCTTGAACGAGGAGCTTCACGGTACTTTCGACAAGTGTTTGACAGGGTTCAACGTCAGCTTCGGACGATTAAGTTCTCTGATTGCTCTGAACCGTAAACCTTCTGAAAGCACCCCTAAACCTTGACCCCAGCGAAAGCCTCCACGGTGCCCGCAAGCGGCTATCAGCTGCAAGCGTAGCCTGCTCTGCGCCCCTGGGGGCATTCTTGATTGGACTCTCGCCTTGTCATGGCGCTGGCTGCGATGATTTCCGCGGCTCTGGTGCTCAGCTTCGTGGCTTCCCAGGGTCGCGAGCAGTCGGAGGCTGCTGCGGGAACGGCTCGGGGTTTGTGCGGTCGGGGTTGAGGGTTGAGCGCTTACGGGTTTATTGGGTAATATCATTCAGGGGCCCTAACATCTCGACACAAATCAAGAGCCTCGACATCGCAATTCCCCAATAGCTTGCTTGAAACGAAGCAGAACCCTGACAAGTGTAACTCCCCAATAGCTTGACACTAGACAGGAGCCTCAAAATTGCAATTCCCCAGTAGTTTGATGCAAAACGGTAGCAAATGCTGCAGTTTTTACAGTGTTTGACAGAAGAAGGGAGCCTCGAAGTTGCATTCCCCCAATAGCTTGCGGCACAACACCACCCCGGTACTTGCAATTCCCGAATAGCTTGATGCAAAAAAGTAGCAAATGCTGCAATTTACAGTGTTTGCACCCAAACCAAAAGAGCCAACGTTAGCAAATGAGATCGGGGACCGCCAGCGTTGGGAGAAAACCCTTCCGCCTATCATTCAGTTGATAGTCGTCGGAGCGGTAGCCGTCTCCGCCGGCGTCGTCATCGTAGTGGTAGCAGCGGGCTGTGACCATGAACATCATGGCTTGGCATGTGCCTTAACGCAGTTGTGCTTATGCGGGCACCTGTATGGGTATTGGATGTTATCATGTTGAACCCGTGCTGTCGATCTCTGCGATGCATTTCGCTTCGGATCCAGTTGAACCCGCAGAGAGCATACGAGATTCCGTCACGATTCCAGATTCGCCAGTGTAGACCCCCCTAATTTGTGCTGTGGTGACTTTTGCATAGGATCCAACTGAACCCACCGAGTATTAATATCAGAGCCCTTATTTGCAAAACCCCTTCCTTTACGCCGGTTTCAACAGGGATCTTGGTGGTGGCACATGAAGGGATCTTGATCAGGGGTCTACATTACCGTTGCTTGGGCTCCCTAAACCCTAAACCCTAAACCCTATAGGGTTTAGGGCTTCGGGCCCTGCCATCCTCATCTTATCTCCGCAGCCGTCGAAACTCCGTTGTCTTTGGCATAGGCTGCCTGGGCAGATCTGCAAGATACGGTGAAGAAAAAGCATCCAAGACTCAAGGCCCAAGACCCCCTAAACCCCCATGGGTTTTCACATGTTCCCACAGGCCGGTTTGCAGGAACTTCGTGATGAGATGGACCGGCTCACTGCAGGTGTCTTGCCCGAGTCTAGGCTTCGGGTGCTTCGGCTCGGAGGCTTGAGCCTAGCGAATGCGAGCTGCAGGCGTGGAGTTTCAGAGCTAATCGGCTACCCTAGGCCCTCATGGGCCAACCCAAAAAGGCCGAGATTCTAAGTCCAATCGCTTCCAGAGCGGCACGGACGTGAGTTCTTGTTTTCCGAGCCTGGCATTCCATCCCTCACCCGGACTGGGCCGGCTGCTTTCAGTCTTAGACAACCGTCCCTTTGAAACGGTCACTTGGCTTCCGTGTTAGTCTTGCTTCTCTTTAGACCGCACTGGATCATGTAGTAAGTTCGAGTGCAAGTGAGCTTTCCATCTGCTACACGTTTCTCAACCCTCAACACTATCTGACTCCCTGACTAAAACCTTAGCGCGATCATATGCGAACTATATGCCCACTGTCTGAGTCCGTCAGTCATCCAAATATGTTTTGCCGGCAAAATGTCTTCCAGAGGTGGAAGGAGAATATTTCGGGCCCGAACAGGGAGTTTCGGCAGCCTTAGCTGGGGTACCCGCTGTTGTGTCTTTAAGCAAAGCGCACCGAACCTGGTCGGCCATGAAACTTTTAGAACCTCCCATCCAACGGGAGCCTGGAAGCCCAGAAAGCTTAAAAGCCGTTGGCGCTGGGTCCGCAGCACTGCATGGCCCCCACCCGAGGCAGATGCTTTGACAGGGTCCTGCGCCTTTTGTGCTTTTTCCTCATGAGGCTGAATAGACAAGACCTAAACAACTTGGCCGGCCCCGACGCCGTAGACCCGAATAGTCTAAACGTTAAGTTGCCTTTAACCCTAGCGGCCCTAGCCTAAACTGTATAGACCCTTGAGCCTGATCCCTAAGCCGATTGCTCAGAGCTGGCGGCACTTGGGCTGGAAGAAGACGAGCTTCGGAGGCAGCTGGTCATGAGGAAAGATGCTGCAGAACAGGCTCGGGGTTGAGGGTTTAGGGTTTCTGGACACGTAGGACAATGCTTTCGAGCCTCGGAATCCGTATGGCGATTGTTTCGAGTGCTTACAGCATTCATTTAGTTCGTAGCTGTTGCTGCTATGAAAGTCACACTTTCCTGCACTACGAACCCTAAACCCTAAACCCTAAACGCAACAATGTTTTGCATACCACGGTTTGCCAACACGTTTTTCAAGTCCAGAGATGCGGGGCTGCACCGAAGATGTTGTGGACTTGCCTACTCCTCCCTCAGCTTGCATTCAGCAACTACTGCGTGTAATGTGAGGTTTGCGGCCTGGGGTGCACAGAGAACCCTGCACCCCATGAGTATGTAGGGACTACCCTTTGAACTCATATAGGGCGTGTTACCATGAGTAGTATCATGACCAGTTCATAAGCTGCATTCCCTGAGCCTCCACATACCCTAAGCCCTGAAGACAAACAGCCTGCCTAAGAGGCAGAGATGGTTCACAACACCACTGCAGCTGACGCTTTGGCCAACTGGACCATCCAAGAGCTTCTCATTGCAATCCCCGATGACAAGGGAGACTTTGTGGCAAGCCAGGCAGCCAAATGCCAAAGTGGCATGCTCCTCGGTGCGGAGGTGCAGAAGCGCTTCCTGGATTCTCCTCATGATCCGAGGGTGCTGTGCCCATCTGGTGAGAAGGTTCCAGCCGTGATGCTTCACAGCAATCCACAAGGCAAGCCTACACTTTGCCGCACGCGCTGCTGTTCCCAGACTTGCACGGCTATCAGTGGAAACGACCCGGACCAGATCATGTTGGATGGGTGCCTGATGCGGGACGTGTGGAAAACCTACAAGGCATGCGGGGCGCACGGTGCCCCAAAGCTACAGCTTGAGGATGATGCTGATGCTGTGAGTTGGGTCCTTACCCACGTATGCCTTGCCGTCGGCCGAGGCTACACCTTCACTTCGCAGGAGCTGAGTCGCTTACAGCGACTGGATGTGGCTGTGCGAGAGGCCAGGCCGTCCCAGCCCGTCATTCAGTCCAGCAAGGGCCAGGGTCTTCAGACTCCCGATGTGGGATCAGCATCGGGAAGCCAATCCATGGTCGTGCGGCTGCTGATGAAGTGCTGGGAGATGATTCAGGAGGTTGAAGTGTCTGCCTTTCGCCAGGTATTTTCGCGCATGTTCACTGCGTGCCGACATGCTTGGCAGGTGAAGCAGAATGCGAACTTTTGAACAGTGGATTGCGTTAGAGCCAGAGCTGGCAGATTCCACGACAGCCAGAAGTCGACCCGGACGTCGTTTCGTTCCATCTATTCAATTCAATCTATGGTGACCAGATCGGTGTAGTACGCCGGAAAAACAGGCATCCGGGATCTTGAGGGATTCCAAAATCCCAACAGGGCTACATCAGGTTTCGGCAAGGTCTGCTAAGTTCACATCTTTCAGTAGGGTTCGAAGCATTTAAGGTTAAGGGCTACGGAAGTAGGTGTACTTTTTTTTTTGCAAGGCTTTCTGTGGGGCTTTGTAGGGCATTCTTTTTTTTTCAGAGTGAGGGCTTTGGGCCCGAGGCTAGCATTTTAGAGGGGGCCCACTGTGCAGAACCGGCTTTGCCGCGGGTGCAGCATACTCCGCCTATGCAGCTGAGGATGCAGGGACATGGATGCATTGCTACGAACCCCCGAAACCATGTTGAAGCAGCTAGTAGCACGTTGGGGCAGGTTCAGGGTCGTGTCGGAGCCTGATTCGGAAACCTTGGGAGTCGTTGTCAGAAATGTATGAAATCAGTTTATATTGTCATGGTTGTTAGTTCTGCTATTATGGCTACTCTTGTTGTATTCTTGTTGCTACTGTTTCTATCGTTCTTAATGTTATTTATTATCATTATTATTGCTACTATTGTTATTATTGTTAGTTCTGTAATAAAGGTCTTTAACAACAAAATATCCTCATTTTCGGCTAGAGCTGTGTTCTTTCCAGTCGCACTGCGCATCCTCCGGGCATTCCTAATACTTTGCATATTCCAATGCTGCAGCTAGCAGGGACACGTTGTTCGCCTTGTGGGGGCTCCTTGGTTGGTTGGGTATCGAAATCCTTGCGCTCTTATGGGGTTTACATGGGAGTTTCCGAGATTAAGGGGTACCTTTTTTGGGGGTCCTTAGATAAGGATCCCTACTATTTAGGGTACTACATCAGGGTCCCCTGTGTTCGGAAACCCCCATCTTTTGGGAAGTCCCACATCCTCCGAACACGCCACGAATCTCCAAACCCCGAGGCTCGACGGGTCCAAGGCCCAAAATAGTGGTAATAAGGGGAGTAGTAGTAAGAGTAACAACTTCAATATTCATAAGACTGATAGAAAAAGGCAAGAAGAGCAATCGAACATACAGATGGTGATAGCGATAGTACGTAGCATTTCCTTGCAGTCCCTGTATATAAGCATAGCATCATGTTTACCCCGCCCTGCCCGAACAGGCCACGATGCCTAGACAGCTCTAAACCCCAATAAGCGGACAGCTCCGATCCCATGACCCCTAAACTTTAGACCCCTAAACCCCCAAACCCTAAACCCCCAAACCCTAAACCATCCTAAACCCCTAAGCCCTCAACCTCTCTCAAATCCGGGTTGCCGGCCGAAAACCTTAATTTTGCGGCTCTTATAATAAGGGTCCTACTCTTTAGGGCACTATATCAGGGTCCCCTATGTTCGAAAAGCCCCCATCTTTGGGAACGATGAGAGCCGGCAAGGCCTCCTAGGCTTCTGTACCAGCCCTATCAGCAAAAAGCGACAAGGGACCGGGGCCTCGTGAGGTTAAGCCGTAAAAAGCCCTGTAGAGTTTAGGGGTTTAGAGAATCCCCACATAAGCCCTGTGTAACCCTAGAAAAACAGCATTGAATTGAAAGAACCGCAGCAGCCATCAAGGCCCCGATAATGGACGCTACGAAGCCGACGGAACCCGGAAACCACATACCCTGAACCCCTAAACCCCTAAACCATTAAGCCCTAAACCCTGAAACCGTACACCCCGAACCCCTAAACCGTAAGTCTTCTTATTGTGGCCCTGATATCCAGGTCCCTTCCACGTCTGCTACGGAGATCTCAGTCGGGGGCCCAAAGCAGGGGGTGATTTCGAGGAGTCTTGGCCCTGCGCCTGCTTTCTGGGGTTCCTTTTTGTGAAGGCTTCCAAGTGTTCCATGGCTTTTGTACGGTCTTTGGGGCTTTTCCGTTTTTTTTTGTAGGCTTTTCGGTTGTGATTTGTAGGCTTTTCGTTGTTTTGTAGGCTTTTCGGGTTGTTTTGTAGGCATTTCGGGTCTTTGGGCTTCGCAGTCGGGGCTGTGGGGGTTTTAGACGGTTGGTTTCGGGTTGAATTTAGGCTTCCACGAGCTGCGCGTCAATTTTTGAACTCAATGGTGGAAGTGTGGTAAAATTCAAAACTAAGCGGGCCTTCGTCTTCGGGCTTAGATTTCTGAGGCTGTTTGAATTCTTTAAGGCCCCTCTATTATAGATCCGCAGGGTACGATGATCCTAAACCCTAAACCCTAAACTCTAAACCCTATAACCCCTAAACCCAAGGAGAAGAAGTTGTGTAGGGATTTAGTACGATTATCGCCCCTTAAAATGGCGTTGCAGTCAGACTTGGGGCTTCCAGAGTGGTCCGGAAGAGCTCAGAAAAGCCTAGGTTTTGGGTTCAGTGTAGGGTTTAGGGTTCAGGCTTAGGACTAGTTCAAGGTTAGTTTAGGGTTTAGGCTTAGGACTAGTTTAGGGTCAGTGTAGGGTTTAGGGTTTAGGGTTTAGGGGCTCTTGAGATCCTGTATCGTTTCCCTTATTGGCCTTAATCCCAAGCTCTAGAACCTAAACGATAACCCCAAAAACCCATAGATCCCTAAGCCTTAAATACAGCGAAGCTTTTCGCTGCGGAGCCATTTTTCTGTTCCGCTTAAAGTTGAGCGTTTGTGGTTCAAGGTCCCTACCTGCAGAGAAGGCACCGTTGTGATCCGCTAGGTTAAGCCTTTGAGATCATTTATGTGTCGCTCTCTTGCGCCCGGAGGGGATATTATTTATGAATCTTTTGTTCAAAGGCTTTGAAAGGGCCAAGACAGGTCTGTCTAGTTTTTTGCCACGGGGTCGAAGCTGAGCAAGGCTTCAGGGTTCGAGGTTGCTGATTCGTAGCTGAAAGCGAGTTGCGAGTTGAAGGCAAGGCGTTGTGGTGGGTCTTAAAGTCTCCAAAAGCGCTCCGGCCTTTAAAGGTGCAAGCTTGGGGCCTAGTTTTCGGTGGAGCCCCTCATATCTGGATCCCAAGCGTCCAACTCCCGAAGCCACGAGACCCGACTTCAGGTTCAAGCGGAACCTTCTCCTGTGCCTACGATGTGCTGCAGCTCGGTGGCGATGGAATTTAGAGCATTAGGCATTAGGGTTCAGGTTGTGGACGGGATGGGACACTGGAAGCCAGAAAGTTGAAGATGGGTATGTCCTCCGCTGAGGACAACCGGAAGCATAAAGAAGACACCAAACCCGAGACCCTGAAAAGAGAGCTCTGTGTACTTTGACCTCGCCGACGCATCTGAAGCCCCAAACCCTGAACCTCGAAACCCACTCCCTGAACCTTGAACCCTCAACCCTTAACTCTAAAGCCCTGAACCCGTAAACCGACCTACTAAACCCTGCACTCTGCACCCCGAACCCTGAACCCAGGCCCTGACTAAACCCCAAACCCTGAACCCTTATAGCCTTATAAATAACAAATCCACAGCCCGCACCCAATACTCCGTGCCTCGATGTATGAGCCCCTTCAGGCACGGAACTGGGACATTGGCGGTGGTAGTACGGGCTTCAAAGCCCTAAGCCCCAAACCCTAAACCCTAATTCCTGAACCCCTGAAACATAAACCCTAAACCCTAATTCCTGAACCCAACCCTAAACCCCAACTCCTGAACCCTTAAACCCTAAACCCTAATTCCTGAACCCAACCCTAAACCCCAATTCCTGAACCCTTAAACCCTAAACCCTAATTCCTGAACCCGACCCTAAACCCCAACTCCTGAACCCTTAAACCCTAAACCCTAATTCCTGAACCCCTGAAACCTGAACCATACACCCGAAGGCTCTGCGGCCGTAAGCAGCCCAAAGGCCTGAAGGCCGCAGCCCACGTAGAGCCGCATATAAGGCCAGAATGGAACCCTTTGTAGTTTAGGGTTTAGGGTTCCCTTCTAGAACCCTTCTAGCACCCTTAGAACTCTTATAGAGCCCATATAACACCCTTTATAGAACTCATATATAGAGCCTTGTTGTATTATAGAACCCGTCTAGCACCCTTACGGAACCCTTGTAGAATCCTCCAAGAGCCCATATAGAGAACCCTTATCGAGAAGCCTTATATATAGAACCCATATATGGAACCCTTTATAGAACGGGCGTATAGAACCCTAAACCTTTGAACCCCGAAAACCCTCCATCCGAGCGCCATCTGAGGAGGCTCAACCTCACCAGCAAGTTTTCGATGCACGGGGCCTGATTCAAGGGTTGGTAGTGATGTATACAGTGGTTTCAGTTGTTTGTTCCGTAGTCTTTTCAAACTGGGGGTGTAGAAGGGTTGTTGTTTCAGCTTCTTGGTAAGGGTTTGTAAGGGTTTCCAGGTTCAGGCTTTGCAGTTTGGGGTAACTCCCTGGCCGCGAAGATGCCATTCGACCTGCAGCTTAGGGTCTATATTATACTCTAAACCCTAAACCCTAAACTATAGCCGTTTTTGGTTTAGGGTTTAGGGTTGAGAGTCTATGTTTAGCGGGACGGGTTCCCTCATCTTCTGAAGGGCCACGTGCGCTCCACTTGAGGGCTCCTGGTTCATGCTTCTCGGCACGAGTTTTACTGTGATCTGCCCTAAACCCTATAAAAACCCTAAACCCCTGAGTACGACAAATCCTCCTACGTCCTAAACCCTATACCCTAAGGCCTATAAACCCTCACAAAACTCCAAGAACTCAAACCAAAAACCACCCTGGCACACAAAAGAAACCCTCAATCCCTTACAAACCCGAAACCCGAAAACCAACAAACACCCTTAAACCGTGCTTCTTCTTTACATTCAGGCCCGACCGGCGCTCCTCCATTCGACAGTTCTCCCAGGCGCTGCGAGACTTTGGGTTTGAGGGCTCCAGGGCTGGTTCAGGGTTTAGGGTTTAGCGCTTGGGTTCAGGGATCAGGGCTTAGGGTTTAGGTTCAGAGTTACTGTTTAGGGTTC